CAGCAAGTTGTTCTCGTGGTGGTGTCTCGTAATTTTTCCGTTGTTCATTATCTTCGATGGTTGGAAGACGAAAATAATAAATTAAAGCTAATGCCAATGCAATACATCGAATAGGATTTGGCTGGTACACATCATCAGCTATATCCACTTCGTCATCGAATCGAATCTTCCAAAAGAAATCGATTAAATTGAAGCAGCGTTGAATTTCTCGCTGAGAAACCGAATTTTTTCCTAAATATTTTTCGCAAAATTCTTGTGCATTCAAAATTGATTCCGATAACATTTCTTGCGCATATTCTTCTAAAGGCATTTCCAATCTTTGATTCGCGTTGGTATTTCCGTGAAGTATTTGAATCTTTTTCTTAATATAACTTCTCAACGATGTTTGTTCCAATGGTCCATAACACACTTTGAGATTTTCCAATGCTTGCGGCAATTGATGGACAAGATAATCTCGCCGATGAATACCAGAATCAGGACTTGCTTCAACCGATGGATTGATTGCAGCGGTAAAAAAGAGATTTTCTGGTAGATCTTTACCGTGTAATGTCCGGTCAATAAACATTTCTTTGAAAAGACCAAGACATGATGCAGTGTTGACCTCGTCAAAGAATACGACGAACTCTATATCGGATAATTCGCGTGCTAATTGACAGATTGGGAACATAAATTGTTCGAGTTGTTCTTCGGTCACACCAGGATGTAATAATAAACGATAGAAGAGTGATTTTACTTGACTGTGTATCAGATATTCATTGAGGATTCCAATGGATACGTGTGCTGTTGGTGAACGAACTTCATTGAGTAATTTTTGAAGACGGGAGCTTGGTTCAATTAATGGCAAAGCAGATAATTGAGATGTGACGTGCTCATATAAAGCGAAAGTTAAGCTTTGTACTATATTCATAGCGTTTTCACTTGCAATCGTGATAAGCGTTTTCCACAGATATCGTAACATATCATTGTTATATTCATAGTTTAGTAAGGACTTCTTTATTTCCTCTAATAATGGAAGATCGACAATTACTCCTGGTTGTACAATCGGAGGGACTACCAAAAGAGCATTAGCCGGTTGCGGCACAGGATCGTCAGGATCTTCGTCATTCAAATTGTCTTCCAGATCGTCGCTATTCAGTTGAAGGCTATGACTGTACATGTGCACCAGTTGGTTGTTTTCTTCTTCTTCTTCTTCTTCTTCGTCGTCGTCGTCATTGTTATCAGCAATTTCATTATCGCCCAGACCCATCAGTTTCGGTTTGATTTTTTCCAAAAAAGAATTCATCAAGTTCGTTTGCCCTTCTAATATTTCCGAAAGGATTGTTGTCATAAACCATAAACTAAGTCTTTCACGTATTCGTGGTGCAGTATCATTATTCACCGGAGCATTGAGTATATTTGCATTTAACAATAAAGAGTAGAATTTCAAAAGAAATGTCTTTCCAACACCAGTATCACCTTCAATAATTAACGATAGTTTTGTTAACTTTCTTTCATGAACATGGAATAATTTATACGCAAAGTTTTCTGTTAGAATAAACTTCGTTTCATTCATTATTTGAATGAAATCTTCATATTTAATATCAATCAACCATGATAAGCATTTCGCATAGTAATCTTTCTGTTGAAATTCAGGTCTCAACGAAGGATTTCGTTCATTAAATAGCTGTTTGATTTCTCTTGGAACATTGTTCCAGTCATCATGCAATAAATATAAAGAAAAATGTGGATCATAAACAAAGAATATACGAGGATAATTTGTATGACGAAAATCGATTTGTGAAAGTGATCGAGCTTCTCGAATCATTTGTTTTAGAGCAGTTGAGCCGAGATTTTCAAATGTCATATTATATCGATAATAATGACTGGTGAAAAATTTTATCCGACGATATAAAAATTTTGTAAAAGATAGTTCAGAAATCTTGTTTCGTGGTAATTCAGAAGCGTACTTTCTGATACATTCATGAATAAAACGACGACATTCATCATGATTGTTTAGTTCCTCAAAATCAACTGGTTGTTCAATGCCTATTGGAGTCATAGTTAGTTGACGATTGATCGTTCCATTCTCATACGCTTTGAGAAATCGTGCGACGAGTTCTTCCTGTTCACCAATATATAATTGATAACTATTATCAGTGATTTCCTCCAAAGTGTATGGAGAAATAATAGATAATATTGGCAAAATTCGATTAAAATTCTCTTCGATTGTCATTTTGTATTGATCTGTATAAGGAACTTCGATGTAAAACTTCCACTGTTTATCTTCTGATAATGAATATGTTAAACCAGTTGTATTATCAGTTAATGTTCTACTGATAAATAACGAGAGAAGAGTACGATTCAATTGTTCAAATGGCGCATGAATTGATATGTTGAATGAAACACACGGATCAGTATTTAGTAACTTTGCGTCATAGGAAAGAAATGAAGTGATTAACATGGATAAATTTAATGTATCATTGATACTGAAACAAGATGTTTCAGGAGTTTTGTATTTTGTATTAATCAGATGGGTTTTTCCTATGAAAAAGATGAAGGATCTTTAGGCAAAAAGTAATCTTTTGACTTACCAATTCCAGCGACTCCGCAGATGATTTGAATTTGTGGTTGAATCCAGTTATTTTGCTCAAACAGTCGTGTTATTTGTGAATGTGTATGATGTGGTTGACGAAACTTTGGTGGAATATGAAAGAATCTTAATCCTTTTCGACTTGTTGTCAATTCATTTGAAAAATAATAAACAGTTCCATGTGTTTGCTCTTGTTTTGTTAATTCATCTTGTTCGTTCAAAAGAATTTCACGAAGACGATGATGCATTTGATCAATATTCATAACAACAAATGTCAAATAACGAAATGTTCGTATACGTAAGAAAAACAATCGAATATCATCTTCATTGGCAGTTGAACACCATAAGATTTGATAAGCGGATGGTAAACGATCTTGAAAAAGATTTAAGAGAACACAACAAGTATCCAAATCGAGATTATGTTCAATAGGTGTCTTTTCAATCCGATTGTGTTGTGTCGAATTTATTGTAACAAGATACTGTTGATTTTCATTATTTCCATGATTTCTTTGAAATAATTCTCGCCCATTGTTGAAAATTTCACTTAAGAATTGAGATAATTTCTTTAAAGCTGTTTCTGCATTGGAATTTGGTTCGATTCGATGAGTTTCATAGTGATGTGTGATATTCATTTCGGACAAATCACAATCGTTGAGTTTTAACGAACGTAAATAATGAATCAAACATTGAATAGTTAATTTCATTTCATTATCTCTATGACGAAAGATGTCTTCAGAAAGACATACTTTCTCTAAAAATTGACATTTAACTTGATTTTGTGTTGTTGATCTTGTTAAAAGAATGATGAGAATCATTATTTGTCGATTCGAAAACAAGTACAATAGATGATGATCTTGTCTGTATCGCTCTAAATTATGAATCCACATGTCGTAATTGGCTTGTAATGAACGATGAATCAAATCTAAATTTTTGGTAAGTGTTTCAGCAGCGCGTTTTAATCGATTTTCTCGAATTTGGTGATCATTCCGTAAATCCGATAATAAATGATCTATTTCATCTGTTCGATCATGAATATCATAGTTCTCTTCTCTTAGTTGATATTCTGGATGACCCGCTGTTTCTAATTTACAAAAAATGTTGTAAATATCTTCAACAGTTCGTAATAAATTTAATTGTTCAGTCAGTAAAATCTTTTTGTGAAGCATATTTTCTTGAAGATCAACATTACAAAATGTTAACTGACGTTTGTGATCGTCGATATCACTTTTTGTTAAGGTAAACTTCAAAACGTCTGATCTTTGTTCATCTTCATCTTCATTTTCATTTGCAAGCTTTTTAATCGAATATCCAATTTCGAAAAAAGATTCTTCGTTGAGTAAACGACGGAGACATATTTTGACTGATCCAGTTCGATATAAATGTTCCATTGTTATTAAAGCATTATCTAACACTGTTGTTTCCTCGGCTGATAACCACATTTTGATCATTTGTGCATTTTCATTAACAACTAAAAGAATGAAAGAAAACGATTAATTTTTATTCTTATGAAATATAATTTTAAAAATTTACTTTGAATATGTTTCACCGAATGTTCTTCAAAATTCGATAATTTTGCAATACGATCAACAAATTCATCGAAATTATTCGCTTTAAGGACAAATGGTTCGCAGAGAGCATAAGCGATAATCCAAGAATTTAATATCATATTATTACGTTCTTGAAGTTGAAATTGAGTTGTTAAATTGTCTCGTAATTCTTGAAATCGTCGGCGTCCATGTGCTGAATATAAATCGGATTTTTTCATAATTCCAATAATCAATGTACATTCAGATGCAGTTTTAATTAGTTGCAAATGTTGACCTTGAAGATTTTGAAATTGTTTCTTTAAGGTATTGTACGCCTGAGTTATTTCTTTCAGTGAACAATTTTCATCACGCAAACGTTTTAAATGATTAATAAAATCATCGTCATCATCAGCTGATAGGATATCAAATTGTTCGATACAATTAAGAATAATATTAATATGACTGTAATACTGAAAAATTTGAAGCCATTCACAAACTTGTTCAATTTCCTTATCTGTTGGATTGGCTACAATAACTGTTGATGAACGTTGTCGATTTGTACCATTGTTCGATGAACGATTCATAAAAAGTTTTTGAACTTCTTCTCGAATATGAATATTCTTATCGCAGAATACTAATTTCAAATCGGTCATATCTCTCAGACTAACACTTCCATCAAGAACACTATCGATAAATTGGAAAACTTTGTCAAGTAACTCGGCTATTTCTTTTTCTTTAATTGATCCAGCGAATCGCTTGTGATATTTTTGGGAAAACATATTGAATATTCCATTGAATAAATGACACGTTGACAGTGAAGTTTGAATAATTCGATACCAAACAGTTCGCGGATTATGAAGCTTTTCATTGTCAATTGTTATGGTCAATTGACCAGCTCGTTGTGTTTCAAATTCTCCTTGTAAAACATGTTTTTCAACAGCGACGTTCTTCTTCTTCTTCTTATATAACAATTTGATGTCACCTTGTACTTCTGCTAAGCTATATTGAATTTCAATATCGCATGGAAATTTATCACTGGCTATTGACCATTGAACATGTTGACGATCTTGAATAGGAAACGACTTTGAGATTATTGTCTTTGCAGGTATATGAAACGAACTATTAGGTTGTAGTCGTTTTAAATCACGAATGTAATTCGCTGAATCCATACGAGTATTTAATTCACCGCCATCAATCATTTGAAATGAAGTTAAACAATTAAATAAATGACAAAGTCGTTGAAGATCGTTAAATGGTTGAAAAAGTTTTAAAATTCGTTCAACGATTGTTTTCATTTGGATAACGGTTGTTGAGGAATTATCTTTGGCATTATGAATATCTCGAAGTAATTGAGCAGCTCCATCAACATTCAAATTCTTAAGCCATTCAATAATATATAAGGAAATTGTAAGAAATCTATCAAACCATTGTAACCATTCATTCACTTGTTCAAGAAATCTTTTAAAATATTCTTCTTTCGATTCAGTTAATGTGGTGCTGATGTCTTTGGGGATAGATGAAATAAACAGTTCAGTTTTTCGTGGCAACGAAGGAAATTTGTATTGCTGTGGATTAACATCAGTTAATATTTGTTGAATATCTATTTTAGGAAGGAAAAAGTAAGCAATTGTCGAATTGTGTAAAACACGATACGTTGAACATGATCCTATAAAATGAAAAATAGTAAGATTGTATGTCTTGAAAGTCGAACAGACCTTTTAAAAGTAAAAGATTTTCGATTGATTTCAGTCCACTTGTCATAAACTCATCCAACTGTTTTGTATCGATTTCATACATTTCTTCTTGTCGAATATTTTCAACGAAATTGAGTATGACTTCAATGTTTGGAAGAGATAACACTGATTTAGTGTATTTAACAATAAGCATTTCAAATAAATTAATAACTAAAAGGATTGTTAATGTATCCGATTTGTTATAAACATTATGCTGAACTACTTTCATCCACTCGTTTAATTTATTCAGTGTGTCACTTACATTGTCCTGTTTTGATCGAAGAATACTTAAACGTATTATCCTTTTCCACACATAAATTGTCCAGCGATTGTTATGATGGCTATCACATAAAGGTTTATAAGTGTACGATTTTATATCAAGTAAGAAATCGTCAGGAATGCGCAGCAGAAATTCTTCTAACCATTCGTCTTTAATGATGGATATCGGATCATTTTTCTCACAGAGATCTTGATCGAAATCACTTAGGTTTCGAAACAGTCTTTGAATCTTGTCAACTCTATTCGATACTTGAGTGTACATTCGGAATAATAAACGATGAAGAATGAGTAAGAAAGATGGCTGTTGTAAATCATGTGTTGTTGATAATTCAAGACCAACAAATAAAAATTGTTCAAGATCTTGTTTACAGTATTTATACGAATATTGTTCATCGGTGAGTTGTTTGTTTATAAACCCATGAAATACTTTTTCATATATTTCCAAAAAGCGTGAACGATGCTCTTCTTTGACCTTTAATTTACATTCTATTACCAGTTTTGTGTAACGTTTAAAGTTAGAGATAGATGTATTCATCGTACGGTTCATGAGTTTGGATCCGAGATGCTTTTGAATAATAGCATTCATTTCACGTTCTGTTGCAATTCGAAGAAACGTTGTCCATAAATCATCGAGATCGACACTGGCTGCATAACTCGACAAGTATTGATCAAAAAACATTTCTTGACCACCAAGCATACACAAGAAACTACTAATATGTGGAAATGTAAAAGACTTTTGTCTTAAACCATTTTCAAAAATGGGTCGAAATTGCCAAAAGAACTCATCTATCTTCAAATTTAATGATTTACAGAGACGTATGAAAATATTGAATGGTGAGTCAGATGAATTTTTTGGTATAGACTTTTTGTTAATAAGTTCAATAAATCCAGGTAAATCAAGTGGAAATTGTCGAAATGCTAATTCAGAGTCAATATACTTCGACACAAACTCTTGCAAAGGAATTTCATAATCTTGCACATTGGATATGATTCGTTTCCATTGTAGATTCTCGCCGAGTGCAAGAGATGCTTGAAATGATAATTTAATGAAAGCAAAAAATAAAGGTAATGTTTGTGCATCAATTTTCGTTATTAACTCTAAATGTTGCAAAACATTCATTTTTCTTAATTGATCTTTGTCTGTCATTGAAAGATTTGGTTGTAAACCTTTATTGTCAATGAAAACTTTCGATAATAATTCATATATTTTTTCCTTCAAAGCTTTAACATTTGCTTCATGGCTGCGTGTCCAAGTCGTTGCTCTTTTAACAATTATCAAATACTCGGCGATTCGACGAAACATATATAGATATGCATCAATCCGGCCTGGGAATTTTTTCGATAATTCGACCGTTGTTAAGCTAGTCATAATGCATTCAACAATAAAATCAAAATCATTTGTAAATGTTTTATTTTCTTGGTCTTGATTCGTTTGATCAAAGTTTTCGAAACGTGTTAAGACAAAATCATAGAATGGTATACCCTCACTGTGTTCATCAAAAATATGACCAATTAATTTAACCGGTTCAGATAACGTATTATTTTTGCCGCTGAATGTACTATAGATTTTTTTGAAGAAACTCATTCGAAATAATTGCTTTTCGAATCTTCTAAATATCTAAAATAAAACAAGACAGTTTATGAAAAAATGGATGTCTTTTGAAAAAAGAATACGACTGGGTGCATGCTGTCGATGGAAGAAAAAACCCAGTAAAGTGAAAGAAAAACAAGTCTTGTTTCTTGCAGGAAAGAAAAAGAAAATTCCGTCTTGTCACCAGATTTTCTTTTCTTACTATTAGAAACATTTATAACTTATCATTTAGCTTAAAATAGAACATTCCTTTGAAAATCTTATAGGCAACAAATTAAATAATCAGTAGTTTTTGCGAATGATCAGTTTGATTTGTTGATCAGTAGAAGATTTATTTTTGATAAGTAAAAACTTTATTTTGATCATCAGAAGTTGAGTTTTGATTAGTGTATTATTTGGGGTGTGGGTGAGAGAATATAAGTCAAACTAAATCTATTTCTATTCCTATCTAGTAGTTTACTGTAAAACTGATATAGACATCTACTTTTATTTCAATTGATATTAGTAACTCAGGGTCAACTTATAATATAAGTCGAATTAGACAACTCATGATTTTCTTGCCTTTATTGTAACACATTAGCTTATGTAGAAAGTGCTCATATTCCGTAATATTATTGTCAAAAATGTTTCCAACACATCAATTATAAACCATGCAATACTCTGAACTATTTTAAGGATGCTAACTACAACCCATCACTGAATATAAAATGCTATGCTTGCAACGCATCGTTATAAAAACTAAAGAATGAATTGTATTATATCTAAGATATGAAGTTTAATAAATCATTCGTGAGATCAATGAAAGAATTGTTTGAATAGTTTAGTATATGTTTTTGATGGTAATACAAAGACGAGAAATATTGAAATCGATGGAATAAATGGAAAAAAATAACCAATCAAATATAACCATGGATCACGAGCAGATTTCATACATCTAATTGTTAATGACATGATAATACGAGGTAATACGCAAATAACTAAAACACAAGAACTAACAATTAGATGTTTATGTTCATTGACTTCTTGGCATAAGAATTGACTATAAGTTTGACTTGTTCGTATATTAGATCGACGCCGAGCTATCATAGTAACTATCGAGATAGCAGAGACCAAATTTGCAATAAATGGAATAAATAAATGAATAATATTTATGATTAAATTAAAGATTTTTACATTTGATGAATATTCTACAATGCATAAAATACGTTCTTCTGTTTCATCTTCTATTAATTGACGATAAATTGGATCATGTATCGCTGTAGGAATAACAATAATATAAATAAAAAATATCATTCTTTTAGCAATCGATATACTTTGGATTTTATTGAATTTAACTTCTTGCCAGATTATAAATATTCTTTCTATGGCTACGCAAGCATTGAGCCAATCACTAATATTTGGTAAAAATTTAATCAGAAAATGACTGGATATACAATTAATCAAGAGAATAGAACGATTAGTAATCAAATTCATTTGTACTAATATTAATAAGATGAATTTTAATAGAAATACAATCATTGTAAGAAGAGAATTGATTGAAGAAGCAAAAAGATAAATCGCACAACCACTTTGAAAATTCTTAGGTCGAAATACAATTAGAGATAAACAAGCACTAATAATTCCTAATAAAAACAAAATTATTGTCATAATAAAAGCAATTTTGAATGGAAAAGGTTGATGAAAAATAGTTAAATGTGAATGAATATGATAAGTAAGTATGGAATCTAAAGAAATATCAAATCCTTTCGTACTTATTTGACAATAACTTCCAAAAAAACATTCATCACAACTACATGTAGATGATGTTGGACAAGTTGGATGATCTTGAAAACATTTTCCACTATTTTTACAATAATTTGTACCTTGACAATTATATGTCATATTATGAATAAAATCAAAACAAATAGCATAATGATCAAGATTACATAAACACATATATGCTTCATCATAAAAACATTTTAATCTTATATTCATTTGACATGGAACATGATAATATTTAATACGTTGAAGTCGATGATAATTTAAAATTGTTTGATTGAATAACATATGAATTGATGGACAATGATTCGAAGAAAGAACTTTAGTATAAATTGATCTTAAAGGTAAATAGTTTTCTTGAAGTACAGTAAGATAATAATTTTGAGAAAATTCAACAAAAAGAATATGAAATGGTGTTGGACGATATAAAGTGACTTCATTTCCAGCATATGGAAGTTTTTGTAGAATTGTTGTACGAATATGATCATCATCATGAATTGTCGTAATAAAATGAGCAAAAAATGTTTCAGGAATTATTGTTTCATCAAATGATATAATAATTTTAGTACCAAAAATTTCACNATCGTCGCCTTTGCAGGTATATGGAACGAATTATTGGGTTGTAGTCGTTTTAAATCACGAATGTAATTCGCTGAATTCATACGAGTATTTAATTCACCGGCATCAATCATTTGAAATGAAGTTAAACAATTAAATAAATGACAAAGTCGTTGAAGATCGTTAAATGGTTGAAAAAGTTTTAAAATTCGTTCAACGATTGTTTTCATTTGGATAACGGTTGTCAAGGTATTATCTTTGCTATTATGAATATCTCGAAGTAATTGAGCAGCTCCATCGACATTCAAATTCTTAAGCCACTCAATAATATATAAGGAAATTGTAAGAAATCTATCAAACCATTGTAACCATTCATTCACTTGTTCAAGAAATCTTTTAAAATACTCTTCTTTCGATTCAGTTAATGTAATGATGATGTCTTTGGGGATAAATGAAATAAATAGTTCAGTTTTTCGTGGCAACGAAGGAAATTTGTATTGCTGTGGATTAAAATCAGTTAATATTTGTTGAATATCTATTTTAGGGAGGAAAAAGTAAGCAATTGTCGAATTGTTTAAATCACGATACGTTGAACATGATCCTATAAAGTGAAAAATAGGAAGTGTGTATGTCTTGAAAGTCGAACAGACCTTTTAAAAGTAAAAGATTTTCGATTGATTTCTGTCCACTTGTCATAAACTCATCCAACTGTTTTGTATCGATTTCATACATTTCTTCTTGTCGAATATTTTCAACGAAACTGAGTATGACTTCAATGTTTGGAAGAGATAAAACTGATTTGGTGTATTTAACAATAAGCATTTCGAATAAATTAATAACTAAAAGGATTGTTAATGTATCCGATTTGTTATAAACATTATGCTGAACTACTTTCAGCCACTCGTTTAATTTATACAGCACATCATTTGCGTTGTCCTGTTTTGATCGAAGAATACTTAAATGTATTATCCTTTTCCACACGTAAATTGTCCAGCGATTGTTATGATGACTATCACATAAAGATGTATAAGTATACGATTTTATATTAAGTAATAAATCGTCAGGAATGCGCAGCAGAAATTCTTCTAACCATTCGTCCTTAATGATGGATATCGGATCATTTTTCTCACAGAGATCTTGATCGAAATCACTTAGGTTTTGAAACAGTCTTTGAATCTTGTCAACTCTACTCGATACTTGAGTGTACATTTGGAATAATAAACGATGAAGAATGAGTAAGCAAGATGGCTGTTGTAAATCATGTGTTGTTGATAATTCAAGACCAACAGATAAAAAGTGTACAAGATCTTGATTAGAATATTTATACGAATATTGTTCATCAGTGAGTTGTTTGTTTATAAAGCCATGAAATACTTTCCCATATATATCCAGAAAGCGTGAACGATACTCCTCTTTGACCTTTGATTTACATTCTATTACCAGTTTTGTGTAACGTTTAAAGTTAGAGATAGATGTATTCATCGTACGGTTCATGAGTTTGGATGCGAGATGCTTTTGAATAATATCATTTATTTCACGTTCTGTCACAATTCGAAGAAACATTGTCCATAAATCGTCGAGATCGACATTCGCTGCATAACTCGACAAGTATTGATCAAAAAATATTTCTTGACCACCAAGCATACACAGGAAACTACTAATATGCGGAAATGTAAAAGACTTTTGTCTTAAACCATTTTCAAACACGGGTCGAAATTGTCCAAAAAACTCATCTGCCTTCAAATTTAATGATCTACAGAGACGTATGAAAATATTGAATGGTGAATCAGATGAATTTTTTGGTATAGACTTTTTGTTAATAAGTTCAATAAATCCAGGTAGATCAAGTGGAAATTGTCGAAATGCTAATTCAGAGTCAATATACTTCGACACAAACTCTTGCAAAGGAATTCCATAATCTTGTACATTGGATATGATTCGTTTCCATTGTAGATTCTCGCCGAGTGCAAGAGATGCTTGAAATGATAATTTAATGAACGCAAAAAATAAAGGTAATGTTTGTGCATCGATTTTCGTTATTGCCTCTAAATGTTGCAAAACATCCATTTTTCTTAATTGATCTTTGTCTGTCATTGAAAGATTTGGTTGTAAACCTTTATTGTCAATGAAAACTTTCGATAATAATTCGTATATTTTTTCTTTCAAAGCTTTAACATTTGCTTCATAGCTGCGTGTCCAAGTTGTTACTCTTTTTATAATTACCAAATACTCGACGATTCGACGAAACATATATAGGTATGCATCAATCCGAGCTGAGAATTTTTTCGATAATTCGGCCGTTGTTAAACTAGTCATAACACATTGAACAATAAAATCAAAATCATTTGAAAATGTTTTATTTTCTTGGTCTTGATTGATTTGATCAAAGTTTTCGAACCGTGTTAAGACAAAATCATAGAATAATATACCCTCACTGTGTTCATCAAAAATATGACCAATTAATTTAACCGGTTCAGATAACTTATTATCTTTACCGTTGAATGTATCATAGAATTTTCGGAAGAAACTCATTCGAAATAATTGTTTTTCGAACCCTCTAAATATCTAAAATAAGACAAGACAGTTTATAAGAAATGAATGTCGTCTGACAGAAGAATACGACTGGGTACATGCTGTCGATGGAAGAAAAAACCCAGTAAAGAAAAAGAAAAACAAGCCTTGTTTCTCACAGGAAAGAAAAAGAAAATTCCGTTTTGTAACCAGATTTCTTTTCTTATTATTAGAAACGCTTATAACTTATCATGTTGCTTACAATAAAACATTCCTTTGAAAATTTTATAAATTTTTTCCCATAACGGACTTCATCAGCGAGTGATATCATAATCCCGTTAAACCTGGTATTCATCCAAAAGCAGACAATTCACTACGTTACCATATGCAGTTGAGTCGGTGTATCCAACCCGATACCCAAATAGAAGTGTATCCTAGAAAGCTGAGAAATATGACTGGATGTGGTGTATCCAGCCACCACCCTCACCCTCACCCACACCCACCCGCAGTTTAATGACGTGTATTTCATGCAAAATTGCATTCCGACAGATTAATTGTCCACATTGCAAAGCTGCGGCTTGGTGGAATGCAGTTCACGATTTACAAGGAATAACATAAAAATATTGGTCATCATGCACAAAACAATTCAAATATGTTCAATATCCAAAGTGTAATGCTACTTATATTTGGAGAGGAACTGATTATCAATGTGGACAAAAACAAACATGCTTCAAATGAAAGAAATCCTTTCAATATATGAATCGTCCACATTGTACTGAAACAAATCGTGTGTTGGTTATATAAGGTCATGTTTTGTCTCTCTAAAACCATTCTGTCATGTATCAATTGCAAACAAAATTTCAACCGTCCATTTTCTTGTCCTCATTGTAACCAATTGGCTTATGTGTGAAGTGCTTATACTCCGTGTTATTATTGCCAAAAACGTTTCCAACACATCAATTATAAACCATGAATACTCTGAACTATTTTAAGGATGCTCACTACAACTCATCACTGAATATAAAATGCTATGCTTTCAACGCATCGTTATAAAAACTAAAGAATGAATTGTATTCTATCTAAGATATGAAGTTTAATAAATCATTCGTATACTTTCATATGAATTCACATTCATCGGTGAGATCAATGAAAGAATTGTTTGAATAGTTTAGTATATGTTTTTGATGGTAATACAAACACGACAAAAATTGAAATCGATGGAATAAATGGAAAAAAATAACCAATCAAATATAACCATGGATCACGAGCAGATTTCATACATCTAACTGTTAATGACATGATAATACGAGGCAATACACAAATAACCAAAACACAAGAACTAACAATTAGATGCTTATGTTCATTGACTTCTTGGCATAAGGATTGACTATAAGTTTGACTTGTTCGTATATTAGATCGACGCCGAGCTATCATAGTAACTATCGAGATAGCAGAGACCAAATTTGCAATAAATGGAACAAATAAATGAATAATATTTATGATTAAATTAAAGATTTTAACATTTGATGAATATTCTACAATGCATAAAATACGTTCTTCTGTTTCATCTTCTATTAATTGACGATAAATTGGATCATGTATAGCTGTAGGAATAACAATAATATAAATAAAAAATATCATTCTTTTAGCAATCGATATACTTTGGATTTTATTGAATTTAACTTCTTGCCAGATTATAAATATTCTTTCTATGGCCACGCAAGCATTGAGCCAATCACTAATATTTGGTAAAAATTTAATAAGAAAATGACTGGATATACAATTAATCAAGAGAATAGAACGATTAGTAATCAAATCCATTTGTGCGAATAGTAATAAGATGAATTTTAATAGAAATACAATCATTGTAAGAAGAGAATTGATTGAAGAAGCAAAAAGATAAATCGCACAACCACTTTGAAAATTCTTTGGTCGAAATACAATTAGAGATAAACAAGCACTAATAATTCCTAATAAAAACAGAATTATTGTAGCAATAAAAGCAACTTTCAATGGAAAAGGTTGATGAAAAATAGTTAAATGTGAATGAATATGATAACTAAGTATGGAATCTAAAGAAATATCAAATCCTTTCGTACTTAATTGGCAGTAACTTCCAAAAAAACATTCATCACAGCTACATGTAGATGATGTTGGACAAGTTGGATGATCTTGAAAACATTTTCCATTATTTTTACAATAATTTGTACCTTGACAATTATATGTCATATTATGAATAAAATCAAAACAAATAGCATAGTGATCAAGATTACATAAACACATATATGCTTCGTCATAAAAACATTTTAATCTTGTATTCATTTGACATGGAAGATGATAATATTTAATACGTTGAAGTCGATGATAATTTAGAATTGTTTGATTGAATAACATATGAATTGATGGACAATGATTCGAAGAAAGAACTTTTGTGTAAATTGATCTTAAAGGTAAATAGTTTTCTTGAAGTATAGTAAGATAATAGTTTTGAGAAAATTCAACGAAAAGAATATGAAATGGTGTTGGGCGATATAAAGTGACTTCATTTCCAGCATATGGAAGTTTCTGTAGAATTGTTGTACGAATATGATCATCATCATGAATTGTCGTAATAAAATGAGCAAAAAATGTTTCAGGAATTATTGTTTCATCAAATGATATAATAATTTTAGTACCAAAAATTTCACATCTTTCACCTGTATATTCTTTTGTGCAAAGACAAGTAAAATTTTCTTTAGATTTCCGATCATCATATGGTACACATGTTCCACCATGTTGACATGTCTTATCTTGACAAGAAGAATATGTCAGATAACACTGTGAACCATATCTATTCAATGGGCAAAGACAGATAGATTGATTGTTAATTGTGCCAATACATTTCGAGTCCGACGAACAATCACAATGATAACTTTTTTCACAGAATTTTCCCCACCAATTTTCGAAACATTGACAAAATTCATCTCCTGTATTCTCATATTTCATACATTGTCCATGATCATGACATTTTAATTGACAATCATTAGGACTTTGGAAATTTTGTTCTCGAATTATAAGGCGTTCGACCAAATGATTTACTGGTAAAAATTGAAATGGAATTGTTAAATACCAACTTGTATAATATGTTAAAGTTTGTTTATTAAATGCACGAACAATAATACTATAGTTTTTACTTGAATTCTTTGGTCGAGATGCATATGTTAAATATAAATGGAATTTATATTCACAATCTCGTATAGGAATATAGATATTATAATCATATGATTGAATAACATATTCATCATCAATTAACATAGTGATTATATAAAATGCCGTTCGAAAATTTCGTGTATCCTGCGTAGTAAATTTCAATGTTAGACTGACACGTTGGTTTTGAAATTGACATTGGTCACCATAATATGGAGGTGGACATAAACATCGACGTTGATCAAGTGTACCGGTAAAAATGACTATTCCTCGATTACAAAACCATGCTCGATGAGTATAATAAAGCAAAGTATTTGACAAACGTGAAGATATATATTTCTGTTGTTGTTTTGAACTATTTTCATTAGAATATGAAATATTTTGTGTTACAGGTGGATAATTATCAATGCGAATTAATCTTAAATAGAGTTTTGCGTCGGAAAAATTATAAACTACTACGTAGTTTGTTTCATCAAGATTGCAGAGTATATTCTCCGATACCGTTCGGTTTAACTTCCAATGTGGCCAACATATACCAGTAAAATCTTTTTCATTATAATAATAATCCGGGCAAATACTAACTTCTTCGTTGTCACATAGATCACTATCATCTGATTCATCAATATTATAGCGATCGCATAATAAGGTAGTTTTGATACATTTAAATGATTGATGCAAACATCGATAACGTCTCTCAACTTCATCAGGAAACATGTTTCGACAGTAATGTCGTTCATCAGATCCACCACGACAATGTATTGTACCATCACCAGCAAATTCTATGGGTAAACATTCCATTGACATATTAATGAGTGAAACGCATGGATGATGATAAGGTTTACATAATGATGATGAACAATTTGCTTCGTCAATACCATTGATACAATGCCAAAAACCATCACAATGTGTATGTGGATTATCACATGGAAAATATGATCCACAATCGGTTTCATCAGTTTGTTCCCGATCATCTATAATGAAAGGATCCATGTCTGTACGTCCATCGCAGAACATTGGAAATGGCGGAAATAATTCATAGCCGATAGTTTGCGCAAGGTGTTTTTCATCTTCACCATCTGGACAATCAGATTGATCGTTGAGTAGAAGTAACGGTGAAATACAAAGTTCTCTTTTAGAAGAACACTGAAATCGATATGGATCATTTAATGCACATGTATTATTAAATTGTTCATCACTATGATCCATACAATCATAGCGTCCATCTAATAAACGATGTTTGGATATACATTTAGATGATTGTTCACATCGAAAAAGATTTGTACAGTTAAATGGTATCATTGGAGCACATGGTCGAAAAAATGAATAAATATTCTCCATTAGATCTATCCATGAATAATGTTTCATTCCACCTACTATATTCGAGTAATGTTGACAGGTATAACCATTGTAATATATAACTGTTGTATTGAGAATTGAACCACACAATTCTTCATCGTAGCAAATAAGAAATGGTGACAAAAGTCGTTTTTGATACCAGTATGAACTTCCATTTACTGTATATATGAAGTGCACATGACCAAAAGCTACAGGAGTTAAAGGAAAAAGAAATGGAGTGGATGGACAATCAGCAGCTTGTAATACAATTTTTTCGCATATTTCATCATCATATATCAGACGACGGTAAATTCTTGTTAAACAAGCCATCATAAATAAGCATTTCTCAGATAAATAAGAATTGAAATGATAATCAATTAAATGTCTCATTGTGTATCGAAAACGATTATGTTTACAAGTATCACCAAGCATCTGGAAAATTACTATACATTGACCATCACCACAAGAAAATTCATTTTGTTGCTTGCAGATATGTTCTTCGCAACGAAATGCTGGATCACCATCACAGTCTTTACTCCAACCATCTTCCGTCACATCTGTCCAATCCATACAATCCGGATTTAATAAATCTTCATCATTATTAAATTCATCAGGTATACATTGGCCATTATGACATCGATAATACCCTTCTGGACATTCATTTGATTCACGTTCAAAACATTCTTGTGGTTCATCAATTCCATCAATACAATCTCGTTTTCCATCACAAATTTCACGCCAGTCTAAACACGCAGGATTTGGACCACGGTCACATGATAGATATATATAACACGTACCATTCGTGAAATGAACCCATTTTGTATCAACACGCCTTTCAAGAAAAATCGCTTTCACCAATTCACTAAAAGTCAATTCATTATGATACAATGTATATTGGCATCGATGGCCAAACCATCCTTTAGTACAGTTATAGAAAACTTGTGATGATGATAATTCATTTACATCATTAAGAAATTTTTGATAATGTTCCGCCACATTGATCGGAGCAGACCATTCAATTAAACTTTCACTTGTTATTTTGGCTATTTTCATTTGTGCAAATGTATAAAAACGATCATAATTCATCACTTCATCAGTTGACACTATGTCGATAGAACTATCTTCTAGACAATAAGGAATATTTTGATAGCTAGGAAGTGATAATCGATTATAATCGATGATGTCATCGAGAACATAGTAGTATAAACAATACTGTTGTGAATAGGTTTCATAGATATTAAATCGTACTGATGCTGTATAATCAAATATCGGTGTTATAATTAATAGAATGTTCCAGNAAGTACAGTAAGATAATAGTTTTGAGAAAATTCAACGAAAAGAATATGAAATGGTGTTGGACGATATAAAGTGACTTCATTTCCAGCATATGGAAGTTTTTGTAGAATTGTTGTACGAATATGATCATCATCATGAATTGTCGTAATAAAATGAGCAAAAAATGTTTCAGGAATTATTGTTTCATCAAATGATATAATAATTTTAGTACCAAAAATTTCACATCTTTCACCTGTATATTCTTTTGTGCAAAGACAAGTCAAATTTTCTTTAGATTTTCGATCATCATATGGTACACATGTTCCACCATGTTGACATGTATTATCTTGACAAGAAGAATATGTTAAATAACAATGTGAACCATATCTATTCAATGGGCAAAGACAGATAGATTGATTGTTAATTGTGCCAATACATTTCGAGTCCGACGAACAATCACAATGATAACTTTTTTCACAGAATTTTCCCCACCAATTTTCGAAACATTGACAAAATTCATCTCCTGTATTCTCATATTTCATACATTGTCCATGATCATGACATTTTAATTGACAATCATTAGGACTTTGGAAATTTTGTTCTCGAATTATAAGGCGTTCGACCAAATGATTTACTGGTAAAAATTGAAATGGAATTGTTAAATACCAACTTGTATAATATGTTAAAGTTTGTTTATTAAATGCACGAACAATAATACTATAGTTTTTACTTGAATTCTTTGGTCGAGATGCATATGTTAAATATAAATGGAATTTATATTCACAATCTCGTATAGGAATATAGATATTATAATCATATGATTGAATAACATATTCATCATCAATTAACATAGTGATTATATAAAATGCCGTTCGAAAATTTCGTGTATCCTGCGTAGTAAATTTCAATGTTAGACTGACACGTTGGTTTTGAAATTGACATTGGTCACCATAATATGGAGGTGGACATAAACATCGACGTTGATCAAGTGTACCGGTAAAAATGACTATTCCTCGATTACAAAACCATGCTCGATGAGTATAATAAAGTAAAGTATTTGACGAACGTGAAGATATATATTTTTGTTGTTGTTTTGAACTGTTTTCATTAGAATGTGAAATAATTTGTGTTACAGGTGGATAGTTATCAATGCCGATTAATTTTAAATAGAGTTTTGCGTCAGAAAAATTATAAACTATTACGTAGTTTGTTTCATCAAGATTGCAGAGTATATTCTCCGATACCGTTCGGTTTAACGTCCATTGTGGCCAACATATACCAGCAAAATCTTTTTGATTATAATAATAATCCGGGCAAATACTAACTTCTTCGTTGTCACATAGATCACTATCATCTGATTCATCAATACCATAGCGATCGCATAATAAGGTAGTTTTGATACATTTAAATGATTGATGCAAACATCGATAACGTCTCTCAACTTCATCAGGAAACTTGTTTCGACAGTAATGTCGTTCATCAGATCCACCACGACAATGTATTATACCATCACCCGCAAATTCTATGGGTAAACATTCCATCGACATATTAATGAGTGAAACACATGGATGATGATAGGGTTTACATAATGATGATGAACAATTTGCTTCGTCAATACCATTGATACAATGCCAAAAACCATCACAATGTGTATGTGGAGTATCACATGGAAAATGCGATCCACAATCGGTTTCATCAGTTTGTTCCCGATCATCTATAATTAAAGGATCCATGTCTGTACGTCCATCGCAGAACATAGGAAATGGCGGAAATAATTCATAGCCAATAGTTTGCGCAAGGTCGTTTTCATCTTCACCATCTGGACAATCAAACTGATCGTTGAGTAGAAGTAACGGCGAAATACAAAGTTCTCTTTTAGAAGAACACTGAAATCGATATGGATCATTTAATGAACATGTATTATTAAATTGTTCATCACTATGATCCATACAATCATAGCGTCCATCTAATAAACGATGTTTGGATATACATTTAGATGACTGTTCACATCGAAAAAGATTTGTACAGTTCAATGGTATCATTGGAGCACATGGTCGAAAAAATGAATAAATATTCTCCATTAGACCTACCCATGAATAATATTTCATTCCACCTACTATATTCGAGTAATGTTGACAGGTATAACCATTGTAATATATTACTGGTGTACTGAGAATTGAGCCACATAATTCTTCATCGTAGCAAATAAGAAATGGTGACAAATATTGTTTTGGATACGAGAATGAACTTCCATTTACTGCATATATCAAGTACACATGACCAAAAGCTACAGGAGTTAAAGGGAAAAGAAATGGGGTGGATGGACAATTAGAAGTTTGCAATAGAATTTTTTCGCATTTTTCATCATCATATATCAAACGACGGTAGATTCTTGTTAAACAAGCCATGATAAATAAGCATTTCTCAGATAAATGAGAATTGGAATAATGATCAATTAAATGTCTCATTGCGTATAAGAAACGATTATGTTTACAAGTATCTTCAAGCATCTGGAAAATGACTATACATTGACCATCACCACAAGAAAATTCATTTTGTCGCTTACAGATATGTTCTTCGCAACGAAATGCTGGATCACCATCACAGTCTTTACTCCAACCATCTTCCGTCATATCTGTCCAATCCATACAATCCGGATTTAATAAATCTTCATCATTATTAAATTCATCAGGTATACACTGGCCATTATGACATCGATAATACCCTTCTGGGCATTCATTTGATTCACGTTCAAAACATTCTTGTGGTTCATCAATTCCATCAATACAATCTCGTTTTCCATCACAAATCTCACGCCAGTCTAAACACGCAGGACTTGGACCACGATCGCATGATAGATATATATAACACGTACCATTCGTAAAATTAACCCATTTTGTATCAACACGCCTTTCAAGAAAAATCGCTTTCACCAATTCACTAAAAGTCAATTCATTATGATACAATGTATATTGGCATCGATGACCAAACCATCCTTTAGTACAGTTATAGAAAACTTGTGATGATGATAATTCATTTACATCATTAAGAAACTTTTGATAATGTTCCGCCACATTGATCGGAGCAGACCATTCAATTAAACTTTCACTTGTTATTTTGGCTACTTTCATTTGTGCAAATGTATAAAAACGATCATAATTCATCACTTCATCAGTTGACACTATATCGATAGAACTATCTTCTAGACAATAAGGAATATTTTGATAGCTAGGAAGTGATAATCGATTATAATCGATGATGTCATCGAGAACATAGTAGTATAAACAATACTGTTGCGAATAGGTTTCATAAATATTAAATCGTACTGATGTTGTATAATCAAATATAGGTGTTATAATTAATAGAATCTTCCAGAAAAATGTAATTATGTGGTTCATTAGATATGTCATGTTCGTATTCAATTATCAATATAAATGAGACTTTTTCCTTCTGTACTATTTATGAGAAGTATAAAGCACGTAGAGTGAACGTGTAAAATTATGTTTAATCTTTACCCTCTTTTTCTCATGATTTACTGC